TGAAAATTAAATTTATAAAAATAATTCTATGTTCAACACAGAAAGAAAAGGGTTTTAAATCTAAGGAGGCAATAAAGAATAGAAACACTCTGTCTCTCCCCCTCACACTTTTAAGTGTCTGTCCAGACTATCACTATCTAAGAAGTTTTTTCTTCTTAAAAAAACACTACCATTTGAACATAATAAAAGGTTTCTCTTTCACCAGTCATCACCAAAAATTTTCTAGGAGGATATAAATTGATGGATATGGGATACAATGTCACCTCTGTTGACTCAATGTACTCCAAGAGAGGGGTGAATTGGAGTTCCAAAAATTCTCCCCTTTTTGCAACCACAAAACCAAAAATAAAGAGAGTAGAGAAGAAGAGCTTGCTCAATGATTTTATAGAGGTTCGGTCCAACCACTTGAAACCTAGTTCTCTACCTTGACTTCACTCACCAAGAATTTCCTCCACACTCTCCACTAACAACAACAAGGGTGGCTTAAAGGAGCCACTCAATTCTTTTACAAGAAGATGAGTATTTCTCTCAAACCTCACCCCTTTACAATGTAAACCCCACAAATCCTTTCAATAGATTACTCTTGAAGGAATAATCACACCCCCAAGAACATACACTAATAGAACATGAAGAGGATTACAAGCAATAATTACTCAAAGATCAAAAACTCAAGTTAAAGTTCAAGTAGGTAGATAAAGATATTCAATGCAATGTTCTCCAAACTTCTTCAGATCTATTACCAACCATGTTTATAGCCCCTTGCTCGAAAATAACCGTTTCTAGCCGTTGGGGGTCATTGAATGCCTTGCAGGATGCAAAGCACGAGTTGTAGGATTGTCAAGAGAGCTGGCTTATCTTACTAGAGCCGGCTCACCATTTCTGCAGCCGGCTTTGCGGGATTTTGCACAATCTGTTTTCTTCGTAGAGCTAGCTCCAAAACGCAAAGCCGGCTTTACAAGTTTGCTGCATATTCTATTTTCTTCCACAGCCAGCTGCAAAAAACCTAGAGCCAGCTTTGGTATTCTGCCTTTAAAAAATATTAATTATTCTTCAAATAAGTCGACCATTGTGCATTAAATGCGCCTTTACAGCCGGCTGCAAAGTTAGAGCCGGCTCTGTGTCTTTTCTCCCCACGCGCCAAACAACGGACCTTTAAATCTTTACCCGTAGAGCTGGCTGCAGCTTCCAAAGCCGGCTCTCTGCACTTCCATTTCACCAGATCCGGCTACAGCTTTTAAGAGCTGGCTCTTTGCACATTTTCAATCCTTTTGATCTATTTTTAGTGCAGTACCAGTTTACTTGCAATCTTTTAGCAACTTAACTACACACTTAAATAAACCAATTAGTCACTCAAATGTGTTTTGTAATAATCAAAATCATAGGTACAATAACTTCATTATAATTTTTATACTAGAACTAAAGCTGGTTAGAAGTATTATAATTTCATCTACGTACAAGTTAATATAAAGAAATAAAAGGTTGAATTATTTTTATTTCAACAACTAGCAACAAAACTTCAGCTTCTTTTTAAATAAAAAATATGGGTAGTTTTTTTTTTTTTCACCAAAACCACCAATCAATCTCGATGACATTAAAGAATGGGAATACGTCTGCATCATTAGTAACCATAAAACAGAATGAAACATGGAAGATTGAAAAATAACGACAATGACAAAGAAGTATCATCAAAGACAT